GGTTAGGTTAGGTTAGGTTAGGTTAGGTTAGGTTAGCTTCAGTTTAGGTTAGGTTCAGGTTAGCTTCAGTTTAGTTTAGGTTAGGTTAGGTTGGGTTAGGTTAGGTTAGGTTTAGGTTAGGTTAGGTTGGGTTAGGTTCAGGTTAGGTTGGGTTAGGTTATGTTCGGGTCAGGTTAGGTTAAGTTAGGTTAGTTTAGGCTCAGGTTAGGTTAGGTTAGGTTAGCTTCAGTTTAGGTTAGGCTCTGGTTAAGTTAGGTTAGGTTAGGTAAAGTTAGGCTCTGGTTAGGTTAGGTTAGGTTAGGTTAGGTTAGCTTCAGTTTAGGTTAGGCTCTGGTTAGGTTAGGTTAGCTTCAGTTTAGGTTAGGCTCTGGTTAAGTTAGGTTAGGTTAGGTTAGGTAAAGTTAGGCTCTGGTTAGGTTAGGTTAGGTTAGGTTAGGTTAAGTTAAGTTAGGTTAGTTTCAGGTTAAGTTAGCTTCAGGTTAGGTTAGTTTAGGCTCAGGTTAGGTTAGTTTAGGCTCAGGTTAGGTTAGGTTAGGTTAGCTTCAGTTTAGGTTAGGCTCTGGTTAAGTTAGGTTAGGTTAGGTTAGGTTAGGTTACGTTAGGTTAAGTTAAGTTAGGTTAGTTTCAGGTTAGGTTAGCTTAGGTTCGGTTCGGTTCGGTTCGGTTGGGTTGACTGACAGCTGCAGATCTTCACGGGACACAGTCTTACCTGAGCCTGAAACTGAGCCTTGTGCTGCTCTATCTCGATCATCTTCTGCAGCTCTGCAGCCTCTGCTTTCTCCGACGCGCTGAGATGATCAAAGCTGTCCATGTCTGACTGAAGAAGCACGGCTCGGTGTGAGAAGCCGGTAAGTGTCGGTCCGCGTGTCCTTCACCGAACAGGAAGTGCTGCTGACGCTGCGGCGGGAACAGCGCTGATTTACAAACAGTAAGGATGGGTCACACTCACTGAGACTAATGTCTGCCTCGGTTATAAATCTGTGATCTGAACGTGAAGCGACACTTGTGTTTACAAAGATCTATGATGAAGAGAGATGTTCGGCTGGTGGTGATATAGACGCACCATCACGTGACTTGTCATGGTGGGAACGAGCAGCCATCTTGTGCAGGGCGAGGACTGCGCTTCATGCAGGAAAAACTTTGCTCCTGAGAAGAAGAAAAGGACCATCTGCTGAAATAAAATAATGTTGGTAGTTTTCAGGAGAATGTGCTGAGAAACTCTTCGGAGCTGCGTGAACATTTAACTGTACAGACATGTTAGCTGCAGCGGTGGTAGCACTAACCGTAAAAAGTTCCACTAACCCTAAAACACTAACTCTAATACTTAGGTCCCCTAATTCTAAAGCACTAATGCACTGAAAGTTTTAGCAAAAGCTAATTCTAAAGCACTAATCTGGAAATTATTTCCCCTATTAGTGCTTTAGTTCTTTAGGGGAACTGTGCCCATCACTGGTTAGCTGTTAATACTGAATGCTGTAACAACAACAACAACAACAACAACAATAATAATAATAATAATAATAATAATAATAATAATAATAATAAAGTTCTTTCAAACAAAGTGCTAGACAAGAGATTAAATGACAGATGATAAATGGCGTTACACTGGTACCAGTGGGCGTGTCACCTCTGCTCTGTACACCTCATTGATTAGACTTCAGCAATAAACACTGCTGTTTTGGTGCTGCTTTAAAGTGCATCAGAAAATAAAAATACTCTATATGTTAATTTTAGAGTGAAGTATTTATTTTGACAATAAAGACTTTTGAGCCTGTAGTTTCAGCTGCTGCCTTCAGAGGGATCATCATCATCCTCCATGTCCTCCTTCTCTACATCCATGAACCTGTCCCTCCTCCTCCTGCTGACAGCTCCATGTTCAACAGATTTATCCAGTGTTTCTCCTCTGCACATGTCTGACCTGTTTCAGCCTGGCCTCTGTCTCCAGCACTCAGCCTGACTGGTTTCTGGTTCTGATCCTGTCCACACTGTTCCTGCTCCTCCAGCTTCATGATGTGTCCATTTAAAGTTAAACTCAGGTCCTTAAACTGACCCAGTATCAGTCCAGCTGCTGTTTACAGCTTCAGTGCCAGCGGTCTGCCTCTCGTTAACACTCAATTGTTTGTGTTTACAGGTTTGTTATGAAGATGTGTCAACGCCCACCTGAAGATTTTTGATTGGTAACTTGTAAAAATATGATTTGTGGTTTTATTTCATGTAAGCCCCGCCCTCTAAGGCCATCACCTGGGGGTCTTAGAGGGCGGAGCTTACACTCAGCTTGGGTTACAACAGGTAACCATCCTTCTTCTGCCGTTTAAAGGAACTTCAATCAAATTTGGAACTTTTTGTTGCAGATTCACTTCCTCATTAGTTTACCACCATTTACTACAGTCTCTACACAGGTTCTCTGAAATACTACATGCAACTTTATTATTAATGTTATCATTATTATTA